GAACGTACCTCTTCCACTGCTGAAGGGAGCTTTTAATACAGCTGTTCTGTGTGTCTACCTGCTTCCGGTTGGTGGACTTATTGTCCCCACGTTTTGGGAGAAATATTCACTGCAATCTTGGTATGGACCTGGGTTTTTATTTCTCCTGCGTATACTCCAGTGGTCAAGTGTGAGAGGTAGCAGGTTCATGCGTTGATTAGCATGTGTGAGCACTGCGTAAGCTGTGACCAAATACCGGACAAGGCACGTGGAAGGAAGAGTTTATTTTGGTTCGCAGTTTGCAGGAACGATTTGTTGTTGCAAGAACGTAGGATGGCTGGTCACACTGAATGAAATGAACAGGAGGTAAGGTTAGATCATAAAACCTCAAAGTCTGCCCCCAGTGACCCACTTCTGCCAGGAAAGCTGTGCCCTCTAAAAGTCTCACAACCTTCCCAAACAGCCCCGTCAACCAAGGACTTGGAAATGTTATGTACAGGATTTAGCCAAAGCACCGAAGAGGCTGAGGCAGGTGGATTACTACAAGTTCAAAACCAGCCTGGGCGATAGAGGGAGGTGTGTGTGTGAGAGAGAGAAAGAGAGAGACAGAGAGAGAGAGAGAGGAGGGAGGGGGAAGGAAGGAGAGGAAGATTGTGTGTGTGTGTGTGTGTGTGTGTGTGTGTGTGTGTGTGTGTAAAGGAAGAGGAAAATTGGTCTGGATGGAATGGAAAAGACCCTGTCACACACACTTGTCATTTGTCACTGGCTTTTGTTGTTGTTGTTGTTGTTGTTCAGAAGCCTCTACTTTTACCAAGCTTGTGGTCCTTCCCATCTGATTCAGCCATAGCAGAGGAAATGGCATGCCTTAGTGCTTCCCTCATAAGGACACCCCGCTCCCAGTCTTCCTGGGCTCTTTGGGCACTGGCTGAGACACTCTTCCTCCAGACTCCTGCTGGGTTATCACCAGTGTCTCCTTCACAGTCCTCGGACTTAGTCGTGCTTTGGGCAGGGGGAGATGGCTCAGTCTGGTGCTTGTCACGCAGATATGAGGGCCTGAATTCCGTCCCCAGCAGAGAGGAAAAGACTAAGCTCGGTAGTATGCACCTGTAATCCCAGACCGAGGAGATGGAGATGGGAGGACCCCTGGGGTTCACTGGACACACAGCCTAGCCTACTTGGTGAAGTAGAAGGCCACATCTCAGCTAAAGAACAGCATCCAACCTCGGCCTCTGCCCTTCACATGTATGCATGTATGTATGTATGTATGCATGCATGCATGTATGTATGTATGTATGTATGTATACAGGTGGGGAGGGGAGGAGACAGAGACAGAAAGGGAGAGAGCATTGCTTTGACTGACAACTCAGTTGGTGAATTCTTGATTTCTAGTCACTGCATGACAGTTTCAGAATAGCCAAGCGTGCTGACAAACACGTGCACCGATGGCAGAAAGAATGTGAGCGAGGAATGCAGATGGTGGGTCCCCCAAGTGAGCTTGTTAACCAGATTGGCAATGCCTATTTATCCCTCCTTCTGGCTGCAGAGATGCCTCATTGGGTTGGAATGGCCTCTTTTTCTATTTTACTCCCATCAAAGCCTCCAGGAAGCCAAAATCATGCAGTCCCGTTCGCCAGCTACTGCACACCGATTAGCTGCAGAATGCCATGTTCATGGTAAGCCGCTAATTCCCGTGCAGTCTACAGAGCCCAGCCCAGAAGCCCAGCTCCTCTGGAAGCTGCCTCTGACTGCTGCCGACACTCTTCCCCTCCCGGTGGAGCCAGCCCTGTCCCGCATCCAGGTGGCCTTCACCATGGACATAGGTGTCTGGTTCACTGTTCTGAAGTTTTGGAGGCGCCAACCTTTCACTGCTGGAGTGTGCACACCTCCATGTTCCTGTTTCTGATGCCCTACAATGGGGCTTCAGTGACCACCTGCAAAGTTCTGAATTGGAACACACTAGCCTATCTCCTGGCAAGGATCTGTAGAATGAACGAATGAGTGAATGAATGAATGAGTGAATAAGTGAAGGAGCAGTTGGCATGAGACAGTGAGGCTGCTCGCATTGCTGGTAGCCTGGGCTGCGGGTGAATGAAAGAGATGACGCCTTTCTAGCTTCCTGATCACCCACTGGCCATTGCACCAATGGGTGACAAGAGGCTGGTGCCCGGCACTTGCATTCCCATTGTGCCCTGCAGGTGGCGCTGCAGGTACGCTGTGGCTATGATCCAGGGACTCAGCTCCACCGCAGTGCACAGCCCTGTTATCCTCAGCATCCTTCTTACCTCGCCTCCCTTTCATCCTCAGAACTGCGCAGGAATGAAGGGCAGCTGTCACTGTCCCCATTTCCTATATGGGTCAGGAGGAGGGAGCGTGCAAGGCATCCATGAAGTCCCCCACTGGGGACCAGCCCCCCCCCCCCGCCGTGCTTTCTGTGACAACGTGGGTACCCTCTGATCAATTGTTCCCTTCAAGCCGTCTGGATGGTTCTCTAGGCTTACGGCTTTGGTGCTATTTTTACTATTCCTGGACATTTTGACCCCTAGAACAGACGCCCAAGGCAATGCCAGGCCGTCCTCGTGACGGGCAGGGACAGGTACCTGTGGGCCCTTTTGTTCCGGTGCAGACTTGAGCTACGCATGTGAGTGGGAGGGCCCTGGGGAAGACAGCTGCTGTCACAACTTGAGCTCCACTCTGCAGCCTCAGGGGCAGCTCCTGCTGACTGAACCTTGCAGCGAATCCTGCCCTGCACAGTGGATACAGGGTGACCCTTCATCCGTGAAGCCCAGCCTCCCCATAGGCCTCCCAGGCCTTGCCTGAAAGCTGCCCTGGGGTGGGGTGAGGGGGAGCAACTCTCCCAGGGAACTTAAAGGGAGTCGGTGAGCGCCTGCCCTTGGTCATCTCTCCAGAGCGCCTTCATTCTGTTCGCTGAACCACAGCACAGATAGCAGGGAGCCGATGGGACCGGGTCCTGTGCCCACAGCTAGATCCGGCTTCGGATCTGGCCCGCCTGGTTTCCCAACTTCAAAGTTAACTTTGTGGGAAGGTGAGAATGAGTGAGAAAGGAAAGTCTCTAGTTGTTCTGAAACAGCAGGTGCTAGGATACAGCCCAGGGACTGTCCAAGGACAGACAGACAATGCCGAAGCCAGAATCTGAACGTTTAGCCTTGCGGGCTTTCTACCTCCCCAGCCCGATGTAATTATGGTGCTGAGGCCGCCACAGCTGTAGCGCATACTTCTATCCTTGCCGGGGCTTCACTGCTGTGGGTTTGTGGGAAGCCGTACATCATGATCGAGTATGTCTGTCTCGAAGCAAAACTGCTCAGCCAGGGGACTCAGAGGTGGCTTGGTGGTTAAGAGCACTTGCTGCTCTTGCAGAGGATCCCAGTTCCCCAACCCTACTGAGGTTGCTTGTAACTGCCTGTAACCTGGAATTAACTACAACTTCAGTGAATCCAATGCACTCTTGTGGACTCTACACATACACATACACACACACACACACACTTAAAATAAAGTGAATCTAAACAAACAAATAACTACAACAAAAACCTGTTTAACTCATGACTGGGAAGACAGTAAGGGACAGGAGGGACTCCTACATCCCCTCAAAAGCAAGCTCCTAACATCCTGAAGGCTCTAAGCCTCCCAAAGGTTCCAACATCTCACAGGAGACCAAGTTTCAAAACATGGGCCTTCAAGGATATTAAAAGTCAAACTACAGTCACCTAATTCAAGAGGCAGAGAAGTCCTCACTTGCTTTCTGGTTCAGGTGCATTCTGGTCTAGGTGTCCTTGTGGGTTGCCTGTTGTAATGAATGGTTATCTAATTGTGAACTTGACTAGATTTACAGTCGCCAATGTTAACACAGCTCTGGGTGTGTTGATGAGGGTGTTGATGAGGGTGTTTCCAGAAAGGCTTAACAGAGGAGGGAAGAGCCATTCCGAATATAGGTGGCACTGTCCCATGAACTGGGTAAAAGAGAGAAGGCAAGCTGAGCAGTCACCTGCCTCGCCCACCATGACAGTTGCCACCGGGTGAGGCAAAACAAACCTTTTCTCCCTTAGGTTGCTTTTGTCAGCTATTTTGTCACAGCAAGGGAGCAAGGGTAATAGTTGACACAGCCCTCCTGCTGTCTAGTACCCAGGGAGGCTTCATGCACGCTGAATTGAAACTCTCTTCATTACAATTTTCATGGGTTGCGAGAAGTACGCATTCACTCCTGAGGACTCAAGTAGAAGTACCCAGAAAGAAAGAACACAGTGTGAGTGTTCCCATGCCCCTGTGTCTCCCAGCCGTTGGTTCTGTCTGTGACAGCCTTCCTGATAGATGGGCGGCTGTCATATGCAAGCTTTGTACACACTGTAATGGCAAAGAACAGTGGCCATTAGTGTAGGCTGCACTTCCATTCAACGCACCGTGAGTCTGCACAGTCATGCCGTTACCCTTAGTAACAGCATCCAGACTGCAGGACTATGCTACCCATGGCTTAGAGCTGGCATGAACTGTCTATAGTATTTAAAGAATTCAAGAAGAAGGGCCAGAGCTAGTTGGAATGGCCCTGGAGATGGTTGTCAGGGAGAATGAGAGAGAGAGAGAGAGAGAGAGAGAGAGAGAGAGAGAGAGAGAGAGAGAGAGAGAGAGTTGTCTTTGAGACAGAGCTTCTAGCCCAGGCTGGCCTCAAACTCACTTTGTAGCTAAAGATGACATTGAATTTCTGATCCTCCTGCCTCTGCCTCTCAAGAACCAGAATTACAGGTGTGTGGTGTGTATCACCACTCCCGGTTTATCCAGTGCAGAAGGCAGAACCCAGAACGGCATGCATGCTAGAAGCCCATTCTTCCAGCTGGGCCACATCCTCAGCCTGGAAACGAGTGTTTAAAGAGGTCACACCCTGTCCCGGGGATGTGTTCTCTTTAGCATTCTTTCTGAGCACATTGCCTCCCGTGGTTGGTTGCTGGGCTGAAGTTGCCCCGTTGTGTCCTTGGTCCCCCTAGCTGATGATGGCTTCCCTGTCGTTCTAGGACTTCTGCCATGGCCAGGTGATGTGGCCTCCCTTGAGCGCCTTGCAGGTGAAGCTGGCTGAGCCTGGGCAGTCCTGCAAGCAAGTGTGCCAGGAGAGCCAGCTCATCTGTGAGCCTTCCTTCTTCCAGCACCTCAACAAGGAAAAGGACTTGCTGAAGTGAGTACCTCACAGGGGAGGAGGTCGCGGGGCCTGCAGCCTCTGCACTTGTGTCTTAGAGCTGGGTTCAGAGGTGCCTGGATTTCCTCTCCCGGCTGTGGGCTTCAGGGAAGCAATGTGGGGCAAAGGGGGAACGCCTCTCACACTCACACCTGTACACATATATGTGGGGATGACCTGGGCTTGTGTGACATATGTGTGTAGGATGTATGTGTACGTGCAAGTATTTATGTATGTCAGTGTGGGTTTGCACATACAGTGGCATGCATGTGGAGGTCAGACTACAACTGTAATCATCCCTCTGCCTTGTTTGAAACAGGCTCTTCTCTGTTTTCTCCGCTGCTGGTGTGTGGGTTTCCCGGGGGTGTCCTGGGTCTGCCTCCCATCTCAAAGTAGGAGGGCTGGGGTTAGAGGCATCTGCCACCACACCCAGCTTCACGTGGGTCTGGCCGGTTCCCTGTTACTTCAGTCTCCTTGTCTGCAGAATAAGAACATTCTAGGGTGCACTAAATTACTTCCAGGTTGCGGCAGAACACCTGACAAAGCATCTCAAAGAAGGTGTGCTCAGGCTCCGTTCAAAGGTGCAGTCCGCCATGGCAGCCAAAGCGTGAGGTTGATGGTCACACTTCACTCACAGTCAGGAAGCAGAAAGAAATGAAGGCTGGCATCCGCCTGCTTTTTCCCTTTTATTCCATCCAAGACCCCAGCCCATGGAGTGGTGCCGTTCGTATTCATTTAGGTTAGATCTTCCTTTCTCAACTCGCCCAACCCAAAAACTACCCCATGCGCCCACAGGTTTGTCTCCTAGGTGATGCAAATTGGCAGCCAAATGAACTGTGACAATGAGATAGTGACAATTTTAATGTAGCCCAGGTTGACCTTGAACTCACTAAGCTACCTACCTACACACACACACACACACACACACACACACACTTTAAATATTTAAACATAAATAATTTAATGTTTTAATTTAAACATTTAATACCTTGAGCTCCAGGAAGTACCAGAGCCCACTCCAGCAAGTATGTATTCACGTGACACCAGACTGATAATACGGCTGCCTCTTAAAGTTAATTGCTATCTTGTAAAAAGTTAAGTTGGACTAACTTATAGAGGTACAGCTTATAATTTTTTTCTGCTGTATTACTGTGAAAGTTTAGTTATTCAGGAGACGTCGTATTTCACGTTTTAGACCTAGGTTCAAAAGAAAAAAAAATTATGAATTTGGCCCCTGTGGGAGATGCTCAGGTCAAGGGGGATGCACAATATTTAAAAGTGGCCAGAAGCTGTGTGTCCACAGCCTGGTAGCCATAAACTTGATGTAGCCAGGAAGTTAATGGGAGTGCTCTGTGTTGAGGCTACAGTATGGGCAGCTGGAGCATTTTCTGACCAGCCTTGCTTGCCACAGCAGATGCTGCCCTGCAGCCAACAAGGGACTCATTTGCCATGTATCCACATATGCTCTCAAGTAGCCAGCCATGTCCAGATGACCCAGGGATATGGGTCACCATTCATTTCCTCCAGCTGGAGTCTAAATGGTAGGGATTTTTTTTTTTTTTTTTTTTTTTTTTTTTTTTGCCTGCTAGATGGCAGGATGCCAGAGGTGTCTAAGTTAAGCCACAGAAGTTGCCATGATCGTTCTACAGGAGTAAACAGGGAATTGTAAGTTGGTATCCCAAGGCCATGCTCCACACAGGGCTCTAAATGACCCTTACCCTTTGTTGGCCTATTTGGGGTACCCTCTGAAGGACCTGAGAGCCTGTATTTGTCACCTGTGCTGTTGCTATGACAAAATGCCTGACAAAAGTAACCTAAGAAGGTTTGGCTCGCAGTCTAAGGGCACACAGTTCATCATGGCGGAGGAGGCAGGAGCGTGAGGCAGCTGCTCACATGGCATCAGAGTCAGGAAGAGAGAGACGGATGCTGTGCTCGGCTGGCTCCCCCCTTTTTAGTCAGACTAGACTCCAGTCCATAGAGTAGTACTGCTTACCTTTAGGGTGCATCCTCTACCTCAGTTAATCCAGTCTAGAAATTCCCTCACAGACTTGGAGATGTGCATGGAATGTGTCCTGGATGATTCCGGGTCACGATAGTGAGTATTAACTGCCTCAAGCATTAACTCTAGCCGGCTGCTAACTCACAGTTAGACTCTGTGAGTGCTCCCGAAATACATAGGACTATATATTCCCACCTTACAACAGAGAAGTGCAGTGATTTGTCTACAGCCACACAGTCCTATGAGACAAAGCTCAGACTTAAACAGAGGTCTGCCTGGAACCCCCAATACCATGTTCTTAGAACCTCAGGAATAACTGGCTTCCACTAGCCCATGGGCCTCTCTTGTTCTCAGTGGGTAAGATGGGTACTGGTTAGAGGGGCTAGTGCAGCCCACAAGAGAGGGATAGGGATCTAAAGTTTAAAGTTCTTGGAGATGAGAGGCCAGTGCTAGCTGGGTTTGGTCAAACACTATAATTCCAGCACCGAGAAGGCAGAAGCAGGAGAACTGGGAATTCAAGGCCATCTTTGCTAGGTCTGAGGCCAGCCTAGGCTCCACGAGACCCCGCCAAAATAATTAATTAATTAACTAGTTAATTAGAGAGGGCTGAAGAGAGAACTTCGATGGTCTCTTACTTATGCTTGCCAGTCAAGCTGGAGGACCTGAGCTCGATCCCCCAGAACCCAAGTGACAAATGTTAATAATGTAACCCCGGCACTGGGAGCCGACGACAGAAGGTCCTGAGTGCTCACTCACTGGCCATCCTAGCCATATAGCCAGCTCCAGGCCAGTGAGAAGCCCTGTCTCAAAAGAACAGGGTGGACAGCTTTCCTGAAGATCAAGACTTCTGACCTCCACACATATGTGAGTGAGCACACGTACGTGCGCACGCGCACAGAGACACACACGCACACTGAATTGAACAAACAGGAAGTTCAGCATCACAGGGACAAAAGCCTTTGAAAACAGACATACTTCCCTCCTCCTCTTCCTCCTCTCCATCCTTTTCTTCACCTTTCTCCTCTCCCCATTTCCTTTGCTTATTTTAAGGCAGGCTCTCATGTAGCCCAGGCTGGTCTTGAACTCACCGCGTAGCTGATGATGACCATGGACTCCCTGACGCTACTGCTTGTACTTCCCAAGTGCTGGGACAATTTTCATGAGCCACCACGCCAACCTTTTCTTTGGTGTTTGCTTTGCTTTGAGGCAGTATCTCACTCTGTAGCACAGGCTGGCCTAGAACTTACCATGTAGCCCAGCTTGCCCCTGAACTCAACTGGGATTACAAGCGTGAGCCACCAATCCCAGCTAAATAGTAAGTGTACATCTAAAAATACATCAGTAATTGCTTTGTCACGGTCTTGCTCCTCAGAAGTGGCTGTTGCTTACACATTAGTGTGTGTGTGTGTGTGTGTGTGTGTGCATGTTTGTGTAGGTGCACTAATAATGCATATGTATATGAAGACCAGAGATTAACCTCACCTGCCATTCCTCAGGTGCCATCCACCTTGCTTTTGGGACAGGGTCTCCAGTTTTCCTGGGACTCACCAAGTGGGCTAGGCTGGCTAGTTATTGGGTCCCAGGGATCTGCCTATCCCCAGTTATCCAGCACTAGGATACAAGTGTATGCATCCCTACTGGCTTTTCTTGTTTAACTTGGGTTCTAGGCATGTGTGGTCCTTATGTTTGCCTGGCAAGTAATTTACCGACCGGAACCATCTTCCCCAGCCCCCGTTTTGGCCTTCACACAGCATGTTCCTCACACTGCTCATCCTGCCCTATGACCTGCCTCCTCCAAGACAGCTCTCTCTCTCTCTCTCTCTCTCTCTCTCTCTCTCTCTCCTCTCTCTCTCTCTCTCTGATGGGGTGCACATTCCTTCTCCATTTTTCAGCAGCTGCGCAGAGCCCCGAAGCACAGAGTACCCATTCCCACTCGAGTGTGCAGGCTGTTCTCAGTTTTTCTCCCCAAAGAGCCCAGCCTCAGGGCCAGTCCCCTGCACACATGTTTGGCACCGTGCTTTTCTTTGCAAAGCTGAGCTCCCTAGACGTGGAGAACTCCAGACTCAGACAGAGGATGCCGTCTCCGAAGCAGGACAATGCTCCCACACCGCAGAGCGCGTGATCCAGCAGTGTGGCCATGCCCTGTCCTGGCACCTCCAACTCATGTACCGTTCTTTCTCTTCCTCTCAGGTACAAGGTGACCTGCCAAAGCTCAGAACTGTACAAGGACATCCTGGTGCCATCCTTCTACCCCAAGAGCAAGCACTGTGTGTTTCAAGGGGATCTCTTGCTCTTCAGTTGTGCGGGGGCCCACCCCACACACCAGAGGATCTGCCCCTGCCGGGACTTCATCAAGGGCCAAGTGGCCCTATGCAAAGACTGCCTATAGCATAGCTATCCTGAATTCATTCCGATGGGAAAGAGGTGGCTCCGCTGGGCAGGGCCAGGGGGCCGAAGTCATTCAGGGACTCAGACCAGAGCCCGAACTCTTTGGTCCAGGGCTTGGATTTGATACTGCTCCAGCTGCAGCCAGTGCATCCCAGGAGATTACACCAAAACCGCAAGAGAACAGAGGTCAGACCGGGGGCCTGGCTTCTCCCTGGTGCAATGAATGTCCTCTCTGTCCCGGAAAGTGTCCAGGCAGCGGCTCCTCCCGGGTTACTTTTTTTTTTTTTAAAAAGAAAGGATAAAAGTTGGAGACTCAACTGTAAACAAAACAGGAAGAAGAATTGAGCTGATTGGAAAGAACTTTGGGGACATTCCTAAACCCATTAATTTATTTATTTGGGAGGATGGGGGGTGGGAGGGAGAAAAGGGGTTGAACAGTTTCCTTTTTAGCCCCCACTGTTAACCACCCCCCACCTTCAGGATCTCCTTGTTCTGCTGGCGTCAAGCAGGACGCAGAGGGGCTGGTGGCATGCTTGAGGGCAGCTGTGGGAGCCTGGCTCCTGGTGGCAGGTGACAGCACAGGAAAAAAAAGTTTGTCTTTAAGAGTAGGGATGTGCCCAGCACTCAGGAGGCAGAGGCAGGCGGATCTCTGTGAGTTCGAGGCCAGCCTGGTCTACAGGGCTAGTTCCAGGACAGGCTCCAAAACAATACAGAGAAACCCTGTCTCGGGGGAAAAAAAAAAAAAAAGAGTAGGGATGTGGCTCAGTTTGCAAAATGAGTTTGCAGGGAGCCCTGGGTTCCACCCCCAGCACCCCATAAAACCAGGTGAACACCTGTAGTTGTAGAGGTAGGAGGATCAAACATTCAAGGCCATCCTTGGCTACATAGCAAAGTCAAGGCCAGCCTAGGCTACAAGAGACCCTGTCTCGGAAAATAGAAAAACAAAATGTTGGTGTTTTTGCTTTGATTTTTGTTTTTTTGCTTTGAAAACACAGCCAGCCACTGTCAAAGCATTGCCATAGAGCTGGGGACCCTGTGTGTTGCTGGCAGGTGGCAGCTCAAAGGCGATAACCTTGGTGAGGACATGCCTGTGTGTCCTGAGGGCCCTGCCAAATGCCGAGGACAGGCTGGGCTGTGGATGAGAGAGGCTGCCTTCCTGTGTGTCCCCTCCTCACCCACCTACACAGCTGGGTCCTACTTTCTGGTTAGAATTCCTTTGTCAAAGAAACACAGGGCTGTGTAATTCGTATTTGCTGCTGTGGAAAACTGGCCCTCCTTTCCTCCCTCACTGTAAGGGAAGTAAAACCTGAAGACTCCAAGAGTCTTGAGCGCAGACGGGGGGGGGGGGGGTGTTCTCTAGCTCAAAACAGCTAAGATTTGGGTAAGAACGACAGTCCCAAAGTCAGTAGCGAGAGAGGGATTTGTGCTGTGTCCCCCATCCATGTCTGATACTGCTGAATCCCTGGGCACGGGGCTCCCCGTGAACCTGATGGTTTCTGGGCAGGTAAGGACGGTTCAGACTGAATGCTAGGTGTTGCCCTGGCTGCTCCCCAGTGGGTGTGGCTTGCAGAGGGTGGAAGACTGGAGCTGGGTTTTACTTGAAGCACTATTCTAGGGAGTTTGAGCATCTGGAACCCCCCACTTTTCACACCCCGGAGCCCGTGATCCTATCCCTGCTGAAGTAGCTTCTGGCTCTGTACACTTGTGAGTTTCTAGACACACCTCCATACTTCTCTCCGTACTGGTGAACGAACCAACCCTCTTCTACCTCTTGCTGTTAGCATTGGCCACCCAGCCCAGCTGGTAGCGTAGACTTCCTGGCCTGCTGGTGCTGCCCAGCGCCTCCCTGCGGCCAGGTGGAACCTCTGCCTCTCTGAAAAGCACAGTAAGGCCCATGACTGGCTGAGCCCTCAAGAAGCAACAGAAAGAAGGACTCAGCTTTGTGGCAACCAAGGGGTGGGGAGATGGAGCATGGGGCTTGTGGGTCTGGGAAATCTGCTTGCCTCTTAATTTCTACCCGGGTGCATACATCACACCGATTACACCTCCAGCCTTTTTTCCCCAAGATAGACAACTCAAGGGGCTGAGCTTCTGGTCCTAGAGAATGAAGTGGAGTGAGGAGATGCTGCTTGGGGGTGTGGGGGGAGGGATGGCAAGGGGATGCTACCCTAAGCATTGACGAGAATCCTTTAAGACCTGCCTGGGATCATCTCCGACCAGGATGAGCCACCAGGCAGGTGAAAGTTAAAAAGCCTAGCTGTGAAGCATGTTTATGAAGCCTTGCAAAGGTTTCCTGCAGCAGGGTGGGCAGACTCGCTGTGAGGAAGGACTTTCCCCTGAGAGTGGCTTCTTGGCTACACCTGAGAATTGTAGTAATCTGCCAGTTTCCACACCTGAAATTCCTAGGCATCTCCACCAGGGGTCCAAGAGGCTATGGGAAACAGTGCTGGTGTTAAACCAGCAGGGGCTGCCCCAAGCTGAAATGATCCCCACCTGCAGAAGCTGCCTGGCCCTGAGCTCTCCATCTTCTGAGTCCTCCTCTCCAGCTCCAGACCCGAGTCACACAACCCAAAAGAGTTCTTTCTCCCATGTAAATAAATTCCCCTTCTGGTTTTAGACAGAGGCAAGCCTCACTTCCCCTGGTGGGAGCCTGCTCTTGAGGCTAACCCACTACCCTCTGGTTGTTAAGGGCATTATGAACAGGTGGGGTGCCCCCTTAATAGACGCCAGCTCCCAGGCCTCCGCAGAGTTAGCAAGGTGTGGCAAGTGACCCTTCAGGTTAAACTGATGGTGGGGGTAGGAACATGCCTCCTGCCAGGTGTGGAAATCAGCAAGGAAGGAACCCACAGCCTTGACTGGAAGCCCGCCACATTTAAAAGGCATTGGCAATCTCGCAGGAACCTTGGCCTATGTGTAATTGAACCTTCCACTGGGAGAGAAACCTGAGATCAGGACTTGTGTTTTCCCGCGCTGTAATGAGATCTCGGCTGGCCTTTGGAGTTAATTTTCCACTTTGAGATGCTAGGCTCTTAAACTAGGGGGACCCCTTTATGTAACTTATTAAGAGAGAGAATGAATTTCTTCAGAAGGTGAAGGCCTTGTCAGAGCAAGAGCTCCTAAGGGGGCAAAGCTTCACTGGATCCTACATCACACCTTGTGCATTTCTGTCTGTGGTCTGATTTTGTGTACACATGGAAACGCTTTGACTGTTTGAGAGTTCTGTTTCGTCTCTGAGGTGAATCATTTCTTTTAGGTGTCTGGTGAGTGTTTGGAAGTATTTGTCTATTTCTTCCTGACTTTTCATTCCTCTTTGGGATTGGGTTTTGAAGGCTGGGGCTGTTGAAGGCTGGCCGCAGATTATTCCAGCCTGGAATAACGACATGTGTCCACAGTATGTGTGCCCACACATGGCAATTTGCGTTCCCAGTGCATGTGTGTGCACAAGACTGTACATTTAGTGTGTATGCATGTGTGTGTGTTTGTATGTTCCTGGAGTGTGGCTTATGCACATGTATCCCCAGAAGAGGACTGACAGTGCCAGGAATCCTTTAGCTGGCATCCCCCGAACCAGACCCTATCTCTTGAGTCTTATGATGACCAAGGTAATGAAGGGCCTCATTCCCCAGTCCCCCGGGTCCTGGCTGACATGTTGCTGAGGCAGAAAAGCAGCCTTAAGGCCATCTATGTAGAAGCAGTAGTCCTCAAACACTTCAACTAGTTAACATGATAGAGGAGTGATGTCTACTTCCTGTTTTCCTTAGTGAACAGATATGGGTGTTGTTACAGTACTGCTCTCTGGTAATGAATGACCTATCAGTGAGTTGGGTTGCACTGAAACTATGTGCTGTTTATAGATGAATGTGTGTGTTTTGACTCAGACCAGGGTGGTTCACCTAGACTGTGTGTAATTAGGCACCTCTACCCTCTCCCCAACTTCTTCACGGAAAAGGAAAAGCCAAGGGTTTTTTTGTTGTTGTTGTTAACGACGGGCTCTGCTGTATGTGTCACTTACTATTCCAAGCCTGGACTGTTTTATTTATTTAAAACTATTTGAATTTCTCCATTGGCTTTATTCTTATCCCATCTGTCCTTGTGTGGCTGCAGAGTATGACTTTGTTAGAGTAGACGGATGGCAGAAGTAGGTTTATAGTCCTTCAGGATCTCACAGCTTGGAGCCAAGGAGGAGATCCTTCCGTTCTTATTGCTTTCCACAGAAAGTGCAAAGTCAAGTTTTCTTAGTTTGGATTTTGTTTCTTACATATAGCAAAAGACCAAATTAGCTGTATAGCCTTGGATACAGAAAAGAAGAATTACTCTAGCTCTCCTAGCATTTAGGGTTCTGTGGGAATCCCGTGTTTAGCACAGCGCCCGGCTCGTAGAAAGCCTGGCGAATGTTCAATATTGATATTAGTAGTATATCATAAAACTTGAGAAATAAAGAGCTGCGCTCACCCCCATCTGTTGACTCAAATATGATGGTCACATAAAAACCTTGTTGAGTAGATCAGACGGTATAGGAATTAATTGTTCCAAATGTGTAAGCTCTGTGCCTACCCTGCTTGCTGGAATTCTAGTGTTTTCTTGAATATGCTGATTGGAAAATATGCCAGTCTCCAGCACTCCGTGAAACAAGACTGAAAGAATTTATTAAGTGAAGTTGAACCCACCAGTATGTTCTGGAACATTCCAGGGGTTTCTTTGGGGGGGAACTTTTTGAGCTCAAAATTAAAAGTTCTCTCACAACTTGCATTCTTTGAATTAGAGTTTAATTTTTTATTCCTCTGTAATGCTATAATAGAGTGTTCAGTTTGTTTAGGGGAGTGAATTTACAGTTCCCGGGAAACCCTTTGCTGCCCCCTGCTGGACAGGGTGGCTCCTAGCAGGTTGGTTACCTCCGCCACATTACCATCCTATCCAAGATTATGACAAGATCCCTAAAAAAGAACACCTCCCCCCCCCCCCCCAAGGAGCCACACGAGGCCCTACGACGGCAGGGATTTTGACTTCTTTCAAAGTTGGACCCAGAGGTCGCTCGAATACCTGAATACCAGTTTGCAGTTTATGTTTTGCCGAGTTAGCCCGTTCCCTGGTAGAACATCTCTGGGTGGACTGCCGATGCAGGCGGAAGGCGAGGCAAACTTCCTGGAATCCAGCGTGCTTTTCCAACTCCCCTCTCAGCCGGATGACGATCTTACCGTTTAAGGGATGGAATGCTTGGATTTATCTTTTTCAGAGCTCCGTTCTGCCCCAGATTTTGTATCACTTAAGCCTGCCCTCTTCCCACCCTGACCCTCCCTCTCCACCCCCCCCCCCCACAGCTGGGACCGTGTGCTGATGTGGTGGGTAGTCTCCTGTGGAAGGAGGTACACAGGGAGCTTTGCTGGATGGCCGCCAGGAGCAGGAACACGCAGCAGCGGACATGGACATGGAGAGCACCTTTTTGTTTGTTTGGTTTTCGGTTCTTGGCCTTGAGCCCAGCTTAAGTATTAAAAAAATAATAATGATGTAACCACAATGCCAAAGGACACAGTGACATCCCCCCCCATGGTAGATGCTGTCACGACCTTGATGTTAAGCTCATGGCCACTCATGTCTGTGTCTTGCAATGGATCCTGGTGCACTTGATTTCTATTGTCACGGGATCCTACAAAAGAGGTGTCGCTGTCCCTGACTTACTGTGCCAGGCAAAAAGAACCCTGCTTTGTTTTCTTGTGTTGTAGAGAAACGAGGGAGAACTTTATTTTTCAATAAACTTTTCTTGTGCGATTTGGGGTGGTAGTGATTTGGGGGTGCTAAAGCTATACATTTCATGGTGCCAACACATTGTCAAAATTATGTTCCAGTAGCGGATGGGCAGGGACCCGGGAATTAAAAGACAGCTGAGTTCATAGAGTGCTTGCTATGCAAGTGTGATATCCGGGCCCCAACCCTCAGCATCCACTTTTTAAAACGGCCGGCATGATGGCACAAGCATGAAACCCCAGTTCTAGGGCAGAGACAACATGGTTGACGTGCATAGACATCCTTTGACCCGGGCTGGGGAAATTAATGTCTGGGTGGTAAAGTACTTGCCGGGCAGGAACGAGGACCGAGTTTGATCCCCAGAACCCTGTAGAAGGTGCTACACACTTGTAATCCCAGTGCTGGAGATGTGAAGACAGGTATGTCCTCGGGGCTCACTACTCATCCAGCCCAGCCAAGTCAGCAAGTTCCAGGCTATGACACCGTCTTGTAGGACAAGGTGGACAGCATCCTGAGAAGCTACAGAGAGATTGACTTCTGGCTTCCACGTGCAAGCGTGAGTACACACATACACCAGAGAGAGAGAGAGAACCCATATACACACACCAGAGAGAAAATACACACACACACACACCAACCATAGAGAGAGTACCCATACACACACACACATACTCTAGAGAGAGAAAACCCATACACACACACACCAGAGAGAGAGTACCCACCCCCACCCCCCACTCACACCAGAGAGAACCCCACACACACACCAAAGAGAGAGAGTACTCACACAAACACACACACACCAGAGAGAGAACCCATACACACACACACACACACACACACACACACACACTACAGAGAGAGTGTACCAGCCCACCATGGATACTCCCTACATGTTGGCATGCACACTAACAGCTCCCCACATACCACCTCCTCATACCATACAAATGGTAAAGGTCTTTATTGGCCTGACATGGCTGCCATGTGGGCAATGCTCTGAGAGCTACAGAACATGCTGGAATGGGGGACATGTCTCCAGCACTTAACATCAGCTGAGGACTTCTTGATCCTCTGGAGGAGAGAACGACCTACTTCTCACAGACCACTTAGCCCAACAGTTAGAGATATGCAGATGCAGGTAATGATTATAATTTATTTATTACAAATAAATGTATAGAGTTTCACATCTCTCAAAAATGGTTCCTGGGTTCTCATGGATGTGGGAGAAAGGGCTGTGTGCTTACATAGCCTGTCCATGCAAAGCTCTTAAAGTCACTAGACACTTTAGAAAATAGAATGGTCTCCTTCTGAACAGATCTGTTTAGTGTTGCGATTAGTAAAAGTGTATGAAACAGGTTGGTAGGCGTTAGGAAGGAATTCACTGCTAGGAGAGAGGGGTGTGACTCTGGAAGTGGCTTTGGCCACTTGTGTCGGGAGGAGGTGACTTGGTCAGTTACTATCTGGTTTGGGCTGAATGTGAGTGCCACGGGTGGCTTCCTGTCAAGCAGAGACCCTAGCCTGCTTTCAGGGACCGTTTGAGTCCAGAAATAGAAAATGTCACTTCCGGCTCAAGGTTGGGAAGCGTGGCGGCCCCTCCCATGGGCAACACTGTCCTAATGTGTTTGAAAATGGGCAACAGGGTGAGGATGTAGGATGCAGGTCCAGCCTCCAGGCAGACCTCATCCCAGGATGACAGACTCTATGAACGAAAACTTCCCCCCAAATGAAACTGGATGTGCAGTTAAATATTGGCACCATCTGCCTTCGCGGAAACCTCTTGTCGCCATGGTGACGCTCTTCGCTGGGGCAGTCCCTGCAGCCCCTCCAGCCACCTTCACTCAAACATCTCATAGTGACGCGTCTGTCTCACTCTGGGCACCATGTCGACGAGGAGCCTGCAGAAACGAAGACAGGCAGGGTCACCTCAACACCAGGACAGCCTGGGGAAACCGAGGTTATTCGTGTATGTGCGTACCTCCTGTGTGTTCAGGTTTACGGGGTGGTGGGTGCACGAGTGTGTGGGGGGGACCTGTGGGAGCCAGATAACCTTGCCCGTTTTTTTCCTTGGGGGTTGTCCACCTTGATTTTCTGAGGCAAGGTCTCCCATTTTTTTTCTGGAACTCGCTAAATAGGCTAGGCAGGGTGGCTGGCTAGCAGGTCTCCCTGTCTGAAATTACATGGTCTCACCACTACAGCTGGTTTTCTTTTTTAACGTGGGTTACAGGGATCAAATCCAAGTAACTGAGCTTCCCCACCTGAGCTACTCCAAGTCCCAGCTGTGACTAATTCTGCTCATATACCACACTACTGTCCCTTTAAAGGCATACAGCTTGCTGGTTTCCTGTGTATACATGAAGCTGTGTGTTCATCCACACCATCTTAAGTCTGCAGTTTTTTAAATCATCCTCTAGGCACACTAATAGTCACACCTCTTTCCAGACAAGTGTATCTATTCTGGAAACTTCATATAAAAAAAGTATATAACCTTTTGAATATGAGGACATTCATTTGGCATGTTAGAAGTTCACCCACGCTATAAGGTGTACTGAATATTAGTCCACTGAATGGACATACCATATCTATCCCTTTATCAGCCAATGGGGGATTATAAACAGAGCTGCTGTGGGCACTCACATAGAAGTTTTGACATTGATATCTATGTTCATTTTTTTTATATATAGCATGAGAGAGATCACCGGGCCAAATGGTTACTGCAGGCTTAACAGTTTGAGGATCTGCTAAGTCCTTTTCCCAACGCACTTTGTGCGTTCCCAGCAGCCATGCCTGAGGCTCACTGTCCTTGCCAACACTTGCAACTGTCTCTGGGGTTAAGGACACTATCCTAGTGGGAGCCAGGAAGCACTTAATTTTTTAAAATGTAACACCTAGCAGCAATGATTCTCTCAAGGACAAGTCCAGCCTACAGACCATATCCAGGGACTGCCATTAGGCTACTTCTTCAGTAAGTGAACCCCATGCTAAGACAGCTTTGCTTCCTTCCAATGTGGCCCTTTGCATGGAGTAGATCCATTTTAATTTTTTTTTTTTTTTACATTTTATTTATTTAGTGTGTGTGTGTGTGTGTGTGTGTGTGTTTGCACACACACCACGGGGGCAACTGTGGAGGTCATTTCTCTCCTGCCTTCAACCGTATGGGTACTGAGGATTGAACCCAGGTCATAGGGCTTGGCTGTAAGCACCTTTATCCACTGAGCCATCCATTTCACCAGCCCTAGGAGTGGGCCCTGTTGTAAAGCCTCTGCTTGGCCTCCTGGGTCCCAGCAGTACACGTGGGCATCAGGTGACGGGAAGATGCCCAGGTGAAACTCACCTGGTCATCAGGAAGAACCCATTATTGCATTCTGGAGACGAAGGCAGGAAGATCAGAAGTTCAAGGTCATCCTTGGCTACATAGTGAGTTTGAGGCCAGCCAGGACTACCTGACATCCTGTCTTAACAACAACAACATTGACTGTAATAATAGTAATAATTTTAAACCCACAGTATAGAGGAAGGAAAAGGGGCGATTAGTGGATTAAAAAGAACAAGGGAGAAGGAAATGAGTGTCTGAAGTGTAAAAGCCTTATCTCTTCCTAGACCTCCCGATTTGACTGTAGACGGTCATCCCATAAGGAAGGCTGTACCCCACACAGGCTTTTTCCAAACTCTTGAATAAGTTCTGTGCAGCATTATCATCTGAGCATGACACCCACCACCTTCTTAGTCACGGCAGCTACAATGACCCACAGGTGGCCCTTGAGAGCTGGCCTATTGACATTCCCCCAGAAAAGGACGGGGCAGGGATGGGTCATCAGACTCACCTGAGATAGCACACACAGGTACTACCCTGCCTCACACCTCCCTCCCAGCTGCATATAAATCTGCCTCAGCTTCTTCCATAGTGTGTGTGTGTGCGCGTGCGCGCATGTGCGTGTGTGCGTGCGTGCACACACGGATTACAGTACAGAGACTGGGAAGGTTAACTGCAGGCTATTCCATATATGCAGCTATGCGGAAGTTCTCTCTACACTGGGATAAGGCATTTCGATGGTCACCCATTGTGCTGGTTGGTTGTGTAGTGTTGTGTTTTTGTTTTTGATTTTGTGTGTCAACTTGACACAAGCGAGGGTCATCCACGAAGAGGGGGACTGATTAAGAAAATTCCTCCCTCAGGTTGAGGTGTGGGTAGGTGTGTCAGAGTATTTTCTCGACTAATGATTAATATGGGATGGCCCGGCCCATTGTAGGCATGTCATCCATCCAGGGCTGGTTGGCTTGGGTTCCATATGAAAGCAGGCTGAGCAAGCCATGAGGAGCAAGCCAGTAAGCAGCACCCTCCATGACCTCTGCTCCAGCTCCTGCCTCCAGGTTTCTGTTTGAGTTCCTGTCCTGACTGCCCTCATTGAAGGACTCTGACATAGAAGTGTAAGATTAAATTAACACTTTCCTCCCCAAGTTGCTTTTGGTTGTGGTGTTTATCACAGCAACAGAAAGTCAACTGCAAAACCTACATGCCTATAAGCAGCTCCTCATCCAGGTCCTTGTAAATAAGCCTAATAACATGCACCAAGCTACACATGGGCATGACCATTGCTTTGGTCCAGCTTTGGTGCCCTGTTTGGGGAGAAGAGACGTTCACATTTCCCCAGGAAAAGCAAATATGGCTCTCATTTCCTATCTGGAGAAAGGTGGGAGCGAGGTTTCATAGCACCCCTGGCCCCTGGGTGATCAGAGATAAAAACAGAGCCGTACTTGACCCCATAGGCAAAGATGGTGAGGCCGATCAGGACACCGATGCTGCCGTCCAGGTACCAGACTCTGGCGTTGTGCTTGAACACTTCCGCACTGAGGAGGATGGAGAACCCCATCACTCCCCCAACAAGGGAGTTGAACCCTGCAAGAGAAGAGAGACCACACACTGATCTGAAATGGATATTTCACAGTCTATACTATCAAGTCTATAGACCACAGATGAACAGGCTCCATTCTAAGAAGGAATCTGCGCATACGCAATGCTAATGGTTTGTTTGTTTGTTGACAAACAGCTGGTTCTGAAGGGTTTTAAGGCTCAAAACAGGACCCAAGGGGCAAGACTGAACGGAATGCCTGGCTCCTGTGCTTTCTTTCCCTCTGTAGTTTGCCTGCTGGAGATGAGATAGATGGAAGGCACATCTCTAGGCTGTGAATCACTGCCCTCTCAGACTGCAGGTTGTCTGAATAAAACAGTTTAAAGGCTTGTTTCCATGGGCTGCGGAAATGGCTCTGATGGTGCATCCTCTACACCGATGTCAAGATAGACATGGTGGCATTGCTCCGGGAGTCTGTGATGTCAGCATTCCTGCAGCAAGATGGAAGATGGAGACAACCAACGAATCCAGGGAGCTCACTGGCCAGTGGCAAACCGGAGACACTGCTCCGAACACGGTGAGAGGTGAGGGCCAACACCTAATGTTGTCCTCTGACCTCTTCAGGCATGCCCTGGCACACACAAGCACTCACACATGTGTACGTGTGTGTGTGTGTGTGTGTACACATGGAGGGCAGATTTTAGAAACTATAAATCAGAAAAACACGTATTTCTAGTCACACCCCAAATCTTGACACACACACACACACACCACTGCCGACCACCCCACCTCCTCCGTGGAGCCCTTGAGTTTACCAGAAGCCCTGCTTGTTTGGGCCTTCCCTCCCAGCAGGAGACTCGGTGCCCACCTGCCTCTATGCACTGCCCTACCTGCCTCCTCATCCTCCTCACAGCTCTTTCCTGCTCAGCATGGTATTTCTACCATTTTTATTTTACCATCCTCCACTAGAAAAACTAAGCTGGGGGACAGAAATTTTGTCCATTCCCTTGCTGTCTCCCGAATCCCAGGACGGGGTGCTGATGTTGCTGCTGCTGTGATTAGTAAATAACTGCAGAGGAAAGGAGGGTGTGAGGCGTGACCTTAGCTATTCCCCACGCCCTGGGGCGGGGCACACCACAGGAGGTGAGGAGCAGAAGTTCCCCAGAAAGCCACTAGATGTCAGCATAGTTCCACTGAGCCAGCCCTCACCAGTCAGCACCACGGACAGCTGTCTGAAGCCAGCCCCTATCTATGAGCAGCTGAGGTGAATTAACTCCTTAGCTTAAGGCTTCCAGAAGGTAACCTCGATTGTAATGACATAGCCTTAGTCCTATTGGCTTCTTTCACAGACACGGCCCCACTGTGTGTGGGTGTGGGTGTGGGTGTGTGAATCTGAAACTAGCTTGGCTGCCTAGCCTATCCCTGCCCCTGACCACACACACACACACACACACACACACACACACACACACACACACACCAGTCTCTGGCCGTCACTCATCAGACCCAGGTTTGTGCCCTCACTTCTAACTTCAGAACATTCTACAGAATAAATCCTGTGGCTGGCTTGACAGCACAGAATAATTGGGGCCATGTTGACTGGAGGAACTACCAGCATGACTTTAGGGACTAGATTGTACTCTGTGCAATTAATCAATCTGTGTGATCATTAATTCCGTGCAGAGCAGTCTGGTAAGGATTTTCATAGAGGTTCTGGGTATTTCCAAGTTGGAAGGGAATGAGACATCTGCCCCCTCTTGTCAGAGGGTTCTGATTCCTCCAGACTGCCAAGCCTTACTCAAAACTTCCCCAGCTGTCTTTTATTACTCACTTGTGCTCAGGGCTGTTTTACTCTTGGAGCCCAGGTTGGCCTCATACTCACCAAGAACCACTTGGAACTTATCATCCTTTTACACTCCTCCCAAGTGCTGGATTACAGTGTGCGCCACCATCCTGAGGGCACGTTTGCACGCTTACCGAATATCTACCACAACAAACCAGCCAGGCCAAGACCCACTAGGCCGCATGAAGAAAGATGCCTGCTGATTCCTCATGGTCCCACCAGCTGCTGTCTCCTTTCCCTGAAGGCCTGCTTTCTTGGCTGTAAACACACCACACACACACACACACACACACACACACACACACACACACACCGTTCTGGCTGACTGAGCCAGTGGAGCTCAACCATTGGGCTCCAGTCCAGGATGTATCAATATCATGGGAACAAGTCAGAGGCTGTCCAGCCTATAGAATATGGCTTCCTGTCTCTTTTGGGAGAAAAGATTCTTGGCTCTGCCTCAACCAGAGGAACAGCCGCAGGGCATGCATCAAATTGAGGCAAGATAGAAACACAGGGAAAATTTAGCTGTGTGTGTGGGGGGGGGTGGGCATGAGGAGAAAGAGAACCCACTCCCCTCACCCCCCAACCTCCCCCACCTCACCCCTGTGCATATAGATAGCTAAGGCCTCTCACCAGCAGAGAGGTAAGAATATCTTGGTAATTAACAGCTGCATAAGGCTTTTCTCCCTTCTTAGCCACAAGTCTGGAATTTTCTGGGAATCTCACCAGAAATCCCATTTTTTTGGAGAAAGGACATGTACCAAACTTGTGTCAACTCATGACTCCTAGTTTCACCTTATCAAGATATAGTCCCATCCAAAGCATCTCCAAAGAGACAGAGAGAGAGAGAGAATGGGGGAGGGTGCTTAGCAACCTTTGAGATGGAACTTGAGACACCAGAGGGTCTACATGGCTAACGCTATGACAGCTAATTACTTACCGCCCCTTGAGGAGTTCACACCCACCCTGGGGCACATCTTACTTCCCGTATTCGCCCCTGAGAAGTGCCCTTCTCGTGTGGCTGTGTCTACTGTCCTCTGAGCACCTCCATGAAGCCTACATCAAGCCCAGCAAATCCACTTTACTACACCAGCTAGCTCTGAAATTCTTTCCGGTGTCAAAGCCAGAAATTCCAAGTAGCCGGAATCCAAGTCTCTAAAAGTCTAAGGGAACTCCTCAGGCTACCGAGGGTAGCAGAACGGAGCTGTGCATTTGTCTTCTCATCAATGACAAACAGACCCCCCCACAATAACCATCGCCAGGGCTCCTCAACCCTGACCCCACCCTCCTTGCAAAAAGAGAGGAAAGGGTGGCAGGTAGCTCCTGAAGTCTGACAATGAACAACCAGAGCTCAGATCCCAGACTGTGCAATGAGGAGATGGCTATAATTACTACAGCGCCTTTGGCCTGACACACCCACTCCTAGGAGAGGGACCTACTCCCATTATTCATAGCGAGTCATCCTCTCTAGCCATCCCTTGCGGCCACCTCCTTGTCTCTGTCTCCCCACTCCCTTCCTCTGTTCCCCAGCCAAGACACCCAGAGGGCCCCTCAGAACACATTAGTCATGTCTCCTAACTATCTAAATATTTGATAAAATATCCACTCTTCTACCCTTGACCCCCATTCTCTGGGATCTGCCCCTGCCAACTTCCAGAGCCCCTTTCCTTCGGCAGAAACTCCCTTTCCTCCAGCATCCATCTGCTGGAGAACAAACACTCACTCCACCTACTGACTTTTAGTTCTCCTCCCCAGTTTGAACACGATGGACACATTTGCTCAGGTGTGAACAGTCGTGTGGGCAGGAAACTAAACTCAGAGGGAGCAGAGGGGATGGCTCAGTAAATGAGGACCAGAGTCCTATTCCCCAGAATCCATGTAAAACAAAGCAAAACAAAAAGCCGGGCATAGTGGCCTGCATGTGTTAGCCCAGCTCTGGGGAGGTGAATTCCTGGGGCCCACTAGCCAGCCAGTCTGGTCTACTAGGTGAGAGATCCTGTCTCACAAATTAGGGAAGGCAGTAACTAAGGAACAATGACCATGACTGTCCTTTGGTCTCTAAATGCATGCGCACAGCAAGATACTAAGTATAATAGTGAGAGGTTGGGAGTTCGGTGAATCCTAAGCGCAGATCTGAGTATGGCAGGCTCTGAGGTTAATGGGAAACCATCCACACTGTGCAGGGCCCGTCAGTCCAGGGAGATGAGGCCATGCTCTATGACGCTGTTCAAGGGGCGATAGAGTCTCAATTACGGATTGTCTGCGTCAGGTTAGCCTGTGGGTTTGTGGAAAATCGTCTCTATTGACTTAACTGTTGTGGGATTAATGCCTGAAGGGGGTGGCACCATTCCCTGGGCCTGGGCACTGGGCTGTGGAAGAGTGGAGGAGCTAGCTGTCCCTAACGAGTGTGCGCCCATCCATTCTCTCTGCCCTTGACTGCAGATGTGATGCGATGAACTCCCTCAAACTCGACCTCCCTGAAACGATAGACTGTGACCTGGAAGTACAAGCCAAATGAACTCCGTCTCCCCTGTTCTGCCAGGATGTTTCATCACAGCCATGGGGGGGTGTCTTCATGGTCATGGGCAGGTCTGGGGGATGGCTCTGACCCCGTGTCCACACTCAGGCTTCAGCCTTCAGCCTTCATCACAGCGGAGGTGGGGACAGCAGAGGGGGTACAGACACCAGGCCTCTGCAAGCCAGTGGGGGCTGGGGGCTGCTATGTCACCTTGGAAATGACCATGGGGCTGCCTATGGTGTCCTCGTCCTAGGAGCCCAGTGGGCTGTTGGGACTGCTCTGTGACCTCCCCCAGGCACCAGGTGATGAAGCACAGATGAGGAAGGCCCCGAACCCGTGGCTTCGAGAGACCAAGGCCCCACCAGGCTCTGCTTTCTTCTGCTCTGAGAACCTGGGCCACAGCTATGTCCCTCAAAGAAAGACTCAGTTCAACTGGTGTTTTGTTCCGATTTTTGAGTCAGGCAGGCTTTCATGTAGGCTGTGCTGGCCTTGAACTTACTAAGAAACCAAGGGTAACCTTGAACTTACGGTTCCCCCCGCATCCACATCTCTAATGTTGGGATGGCAGGTATGCACCACTACACCCAGATGAGGCTCAAACCCCAAGCCTTGCGCATGCTAGGCAAGCACTCTGTAAGCTGGGGTATGTCCCTAACTATTTCTTTCTCCAATAAAATAAAAGGCCCAGTACAGTGGCACACGCCTGTAACCCCAATGCATAGGAGGCTAAGATAGGAAAAAGGAAAGCCCAAGGCCAGCCTGAGCTACATACAAAACCCTATCTCAGGAAGCCAAAAGAAAGCCAGTCACTTCTGCTGTTTTGTGTTATTACCTGCTTTGGTGTGAAAGCTCCATGAACCATGAAGTAAGCAGTTTGGGGAATAGGGCTGGTGATAAACCCTTGCAGTTGAGTTCACTTGCAAGACCAGCATCTACCAGCATCCGGGCAGCACCTTCCCGGGCTCAGCGCTCAGCCATCAGCCAAGGTACACCTGCACCACTCACCGTCTGTGATGAGAGCTCTGCTTGTCAGGACCTTCCCCAGCATAAACTTCAACACAGCCAGGACGCTGCAAAGGATCCCGCTTAAAATGGACACACTGAACAGGAAGTCATCCTAGAAGAGAGCATTCCAGGTTTTGACATGTCATCCCTTGCTGGAGCAATCGTCTTCACCACCAGCCTTGTGCAGAGCACAAGGAACTGGGCAGACATGCTGGCACCAGGTGGCACTATAATGCAGCTAGTCACCTGTGTGCCTGAGTTGAGAAAAGATTATTAAAAAGAGATCTCCTGAGCAAATTGGGGGGGGGGCGGTGAGAGGGAGTTAGGAGAAAGGGGGGGAGGACATGAGGGAGCAGGAAGATTGAGTCAGGGACAGAATAGAGGAGAGCCAGAAAAGAAATACCATAATAGAGGGAGCCATTGTAGGTTTAAAGAGAGATCTGGCAGTAGGGAAATGTGCAGAGATCTACAAGGACGACCCCAACTAAGCAATAGTGGAGAGGCTACCTTAAATACCCTTCCCTGATAATGAGATTGATGACTACCTTATATGCCATCCTAGAGCCTTCATCCAGTAGCTGATGAAGCACCTACAGCTAAACACTGAGCTGAACTCCTGGAATCCAGTTGCAGAAAGGAAGGAGTGATGAGCAAAGGGGTCAAGACCAGGCTGGAGAAACCCACAGAGTCAGCTGACCTGAACAAAGGGGAGCTCATGGACCCCAGACTGATAGCTGGGAAACCAGCATAGGACCACCCAGGCCTCCTGAATGTGGGTATCATTTAGGAGGCCTGGGCAGTCTGTGGGGCCTCTGGTAATGGATCAGTATTTATCCCTAGTATATGAATGGATTTTGGAAGCCCATTCCACATACAGGGATACTCTCTCAGCCTAGACACATTGGGGAGGGCCTAGGCCCTGCTCCAAATGATATGACAGACTTTGAAGATCCCCCATGGAAGGCCTCCCCCTCCCTGGGGAGCAGATACGGGGTGGGGTAAGGGGAGGGGGGAGGGAACTGGGATTGACATGTAAAGCAAGATCGTTTCAAATTTAAATACTAAAAGGGGGAGAAAAGGAGCCAGACTAATATGTGCAAAGCCATTGTATACTCCCTCCCTTCTTGCTATTCCGCTAAAACACATAGCAATCATTGATTGTCAACAGGTTTGGTCATAATACCAAGAATGATGTCTAAGCAGTTTACTCCAGATAACTCACAAAGCAGGCCATTGCGAATTTGGGGGCCACGTCGTCACTAAACCCTTTCTCACAGATCCTGGTTTAGCCACAGGATCATTTCTGTCCAGAGATACTTAAAACCCTATGGGTTTTTTTTTTTTTTTTCTTTTCATTCACACAATTGAGATTCCAAAGATAGTCTTCAAGGTGGGAAAAAATGGTGCCTAAAAATAGTCCACTGTTGAGGTGCTGTTAGCATTTCCTGTACGTGCTGCATTACCGTTTGCAAGCAAATGGGTGAGTCACATGCAAGGTGAGCATCTTGTCTTCTCCTGACATCAGGGCCCCCTGAGGTCCCCTTTGAGCTCCCACGCTGCTCCCCTGAGACACAGCCTCCAGGTTCTCCCAGATTAAAATGCAACTGCCAGCAGAAATCCAACATGGGCGCAGATATCCAGAGAGGAATAGGATCTTCCTTAAGCATTTTATTAATAAAGTCACTACCCTAGTGACAGACACAGGGACAAAGGGGAGGGCTTGGCTTGCCAAGCTGAAAACTAAGCTAAATCTTTTTTTTTAAAACCACCTCTCTGGACTTGGGGCTTTTGTCCAATGTTAAAGCACGCACCCACCCCCCCCAAAAAAATAAACGCCCACCATTGACAGAAGCATCTCTGACAGTATGTGCTCACTAGTTCTTGTCTACTCTTTCTTCTAGGAAGACCACTTTCCCCAAGATCATCAGCTCCCCTTGAACCCGGCCAGATTCAGAGCCTCAAAACTAACAGAGCCAACACAGGAAGGGGTAAACTGAGGCAGCTGAGATGGCTGGGTGGGCGAAGATGCTTGCTGCCAGGCCTGCTGACATGAGCTCACTCCCTGGGACCCAAGTGATGGCAGGAGAAAACCGATTGCCCACGTTGTCTGTGCCCCACCCCCCGCCGTGTGTGGCAAGAGTACACACACTAAATTTAAAATGTATTTACAAACTAAGGAAATGGGAAAATGGTAACGTTGGAGGGTTTAAACCCACCGGACTCTGCCTAGCCAAGTAATCCGAGGTTAACATAATGCCACATGTCCTGTGAGGGGATGGGACTGTGCTTGCATTGTGACTCACTCCCTTTAATGCGAAGACTATCAAGCAATCCCAAACTAAATACAGCTTAGAAAACACCAGTATGTGACCTTCATTCCACGCGTGTCAAGGTCTCTAAGCAAAGGTACATCTGGAACCTGTCAGCAGCTGGACACTGGGGAGGTGTAATTGATATAGTATGGCATTTGAGGGTAGGTTCAGGAAGAAAATCGGAATCCATTGCTTTGTCGGTAGTGTTATGGCCCCGTCGTGGGGATGGACAGGCTGTGAGCTACTCACATGGGGACATTGGATGGAGGAACTGAACCCCTGCACGTAGTCAGACTCTTCGTGAATCTGAAGCATCCAGGGGTGGGGGAGATGTCTCAGTTGGTGAGGGTCTGAGTTTGATCTCCAGAACCAACGTAAAACAAGCCAGGTGTGGTGCAATCCCAGAGCTGGGACTCACAGGTCAGTCAGACCAACCTAATTAACAGGCCCAAACCAGTGAGAGACCCTGTCTCAGAAGACACGGCAGATGGCTCCTGAGAAGTAACAACTCTGGTCTTCACACACACACACACACACACACACACACACACACACACACGAAGCAGAGCCTCATGAGACACCAAAGCTTTTGCCCAGTAACCTGATCTTTGGATTTCTACCCCCAGAAGCGTGAGTAGTGAATTTCCATTGTTGGTAAGCCACCTAGGACATTTGGTCACAGGCTAAGGCTCCTCAGTAAGGACCCACACAACACTCTCAGGAGCTGTGGCCACCTGCCCCAGATTGGGCCCATCAACAGTCTGCCACAGAGAGAGGGGTCCAATCATGAGACTCCGCATGGAGGGTAACAGAATCTAAATAACCCCTCAGGTATGCCTGACAGCTTGTCTCCAGTGAGATTCTAGATCAATGGTTCTCAACTTGTGGGTCATGACCCCTTTGGGGTTGAAGAATGAGCCTTTCACAGGGGCACCTAACCCTAACTGAGAAATTTCCCAGGTCAGATAGGTGAGTATTTGTGTGTGTGTGTGTGTGTGTGTGTGTGTGTGTGTGTAGAGGGAGACAGGGAGAGAGAGAGAGAGAGAGAGAGAGAGAGAGAGAGAGAGAGAGAGAGAGAGAGAGAGAAGCAACATGGCCAAGAGAGCTTTCTTCCATGGTTCCTGCTCAAGTTCCTCCTTTGACCTCCCTCAATGGTGGACTGCGGCGTAACCCAGAAGGATAAGCCAATAGACCCTTTACTCCCCTAAGTTACTTTTGGCCATAGTGTTTTACCAAAGCAACAGGAATCAAACTAGGACAGTACCTGACCCACGCTAAAGGACACCTTACAAGAAGCCACCTCATCTGCCATCAAATGTCTCTTGCGTTCCAGATGGCATGTGACAGTGGCTGTAGATCAGTCCATGTGAGTGGGGTGTCTTTGCGAAGAGCTAATAATGGGCAGACTCTAATTTTCTAGCTTCATTGGTCCCCAAGTGTGAAAAGCAACACCTTAACTTGGCAGAACAAACAGCTGGCAGAGGAATTCATGGACTTGGCAGGTTCTAGTTGCCGGAAGCAACTGGATGGTAGCTCAGTCTGGACTGTGCCCCCTTACAAGCAGGAGGACCTGTTTTCCACCCCAGAACCCACAAAAAAACTGGGCATTAGGGTATTCACTCATAATCCCAGAGCCAAGGAGAAGACAGGTGGTTCCCTGGGACTCATGGGCCAAACAGCCTAGTGTAATGGGTGAGAGACCCCGTCTGGAGTCTCCCTCACAGTCCTGGTCAAGATTGACCCTCCCAGGCTCTAACACTGTCCTCTTATTTAAGAGACCAGGAGCAAAGGTCAGAAAGAAGTGAGGGCTTGGCCTCACTGGCCCCATCAGGCTCTTAGAAAGTCGGTCCAGAACAACCCTGCTTCTTCCAAGCTGATGTATAACATGGAACCCCACCCTCTCTCCCCAGGCCACTCACCCAGTATCCCACCCATCGACACAAAGTAAGGATGTCTGATTACATCCTCTCCGTGATTCTCATCTTCATTCGTATGTTTTCATGCATCGTCAAGGATGGCCAACCTTTTGACATTCAACACTATTTTGTCATCTACGCGGTTCCAAGTTTTGTGTTGGGCCAGTTCATAGCTATCCCGGGGCACAGGTGTCCCGTGGGCAGCAGGACACGACCCCTGCCTGCAGCAGCTACTATCATCGTGTTACTGAGTCTCTCTGCCCTCCCACTTCTTTCCCCGGACACCTTCACCTCAGAACGTTTGCATGCATGCCAATGCTCATAGGAAAACGGTGCACCAAAATGAAAAATTTTCAATAGCATCTGCCGGTTGTCACCTCCTATGTGGGGCTTATTCTTTATAGGAGGGGACAGTAACAGTTGCAACGCCAGGACACAATGGACTGTTACCACTAACATCAGACAGAGGCCGGGTCTGCAAAGCCAACCCACCCTTCCCCAGCTGACCCACGCTTTCCCGTTCGTAGGAGATGAGGTGGCAAGAGAGGTCTCTGGAGGCTCGCTTGCTTATGCCTGCACAAAAGGCGTCCTTTGCCTTCCTAATGAGGACAGATTTCAAACCGTTCTGACACTGTTATGTGTCAGAGTGCCACCAGGGCACCGCTAGAGCCTGCTGAATAATGCATAAGAATCGATTTATGGCCCCAGGTGAAATTAAAACGGTCACTCTCGTCTTCAGAACTTTTCGTCACCACCCTCCCCCGCCCCCTCAGATGTGGGGAAACTGCACCAAGCACAAGCCTCACTTTTCCCTGGTGATTAAATCATATGGACAAATTACCCTCTGTTGTCCTTTGAAGGCTCGGAGATTTGCAAGTTAGCAT